TTGATCATACTTAGACTGGACTAAGATGTGCCAGGCAACAAGCTAAGTGCTTTTACATCACTGCTATTCAAAATGAGGTCCACAGACCAGCACCATCTGATCACGTGGGAGCTTACTAGAAATCCAGAATCTTCAGGAGGCTGAAGTGGGAGGAGTGCTTGAGCCCAAAAGTTCCAGGCTACACTGAGCTATGAACGTGCTACTGTACTCCAGCCTGAGAACAGAGCAAAATTCTTTCTCTTAAGAAAAAAAAAAAAAGAAAGAAAGAAAGAAATGTAGATTCTTGGACACCATGGAAGACTTACTGAATCAGAATCTGCATTTTAACAAAATCTCCAGGTGATTCCCATGCACTTTTAAAGTTGGAGAACTGCTTTATACAACTTATCTTTATTTGTCCTCACTAAAACCCTATGATGTATATCTAGCAATTATGCTTTTTTAGTTGTACCATTAATGATCACCTATGTCTCTTATTTACCTAGTGGTAGTTATGGAAGGGAGAGAAAAGATGTCACTAGTGTGCATTAATCAACATAAATTTATATATGTTCTACATCCTGTTTTCCTCCTTGCCAACTTTGTTTTTAAAAAAAATAGACACTGCCATGTGCAGCACTTTGGGAGGCCAAGGCGGGTGGATCACAAGGTTAGATCAACATCATCCTGGCCAATATGGTAAAACCCCATCTCTACTAAAATACAAAAAATTAGCTGGGCATGGTGGTGCATGCCTGTAATCCCAGCTACTCAGGAGAATGAGGCAGGGGAATCGCCTGAGCCCGGGATGCGGAGATTGCAGTGAGCCAAGATCGCACCACTGCACTCCAGCCTGGCAACAGAGCAAGACTGTCTCAAAAAAAAAAAAAAAAAAAATAGACAATGGATTTCCATGTAGTCTAAATAACTGAGGATGAACTTTGGGAGGCTGAGGCAGGCAGATCACCTGAGGTCAGGAGTTCAAGACCAACATGGCCAACGTGGCAAAATCCTGTCTAAACTAAAAAATACAAAAATTTAGCCAGGCATGGTGGTGGGTGCCTGTAATTCCAGCTACTTGGAGGCTGAGGCAGGGAAAATTGCTTGAACCCAGGAAGTGGAAGTTGCAGTGAGCCAAGATCACGCCACTGCACTCCAATCTGGGTGACAGAGTGAAACTCCATCTCAAAAAACAAACAATAATAATAATAATAAATAGGCAGGGTGCAGTGGTTCATGCTTGTAATCCCAGCACTCTGGGAGGCCAAAACAGGTGGATCATTTGAAGTCAGGAGTTCAAGACCAGCCTGGTCAACATGGTAAAGCCCTGTCTCTACTAAAAATATAAAAATTAGCCAGATGTGGTGGCAGGTGCCTGTAATTCCAGCTACTCGAGAGGCTGAGGCAGGAGAATCACTTGAACCTGGGAGGCAGAGGTTTCAGTGAGCCAAGATCACACCACTGCACTCCATCCTGGGCGACAAGAAGACTCCGTCTCAAAAAATAAAAATAAATAATAATAAATAACTAAGATGAAAGAAGACAGGTACAGAATTAATAAGAATACTACAAAGGATTCCCAGAGCAAAGACAGTCAATACATAAAAGAAAATGAAAGGTACCAGACTCCTACAGCAGAAGCTAGGCCTGGACATAATTGAAGTTTTTATTCAATGGCTCATAATGCTCAGTATAGCCCTATTCTTCTACCCTATATAGAGCTCTTGGTAGGGATCCCATAGCTGGAGTCATACATCTTCCCCCCATCCCAATGGACAAACAGATACTTTATGCCATTAAAAAAACAAAGAACTAAAGTATAACCAGAGTAGTTCCTTGGGCCAGGAATAACTTATATTTTGCTTTTCTATGAGACAGCATGGTAGTGCAACCTGCTACTCCTGCAAGAATATCCCTTAGAGATTTTGCATCCTGGGAAGTCATCCAGTCCAAGGATGAAAGTAAACTGGTACCAATTCAGGACAGGAAGGGTAGCTAAGAGAAAAAGGGAAATCAATGGCATGCAAAACCATCTCATTAGAAAGATGAAACTGAGGAGTTAATTGCTGATTACCTGAAAACAAGAAATCCAAACAAGAAAATACTATGTTTATTAAGAAAGACCACTATATATCTATAAAACTTTTATTAAAATTGGAATTAGAAACTATACCAAAAACTTTAAAAATACATAAGACATTGTTCTTTTTTCTTACAGAAAAGAGCATGAAAATAAGACCCATGGCAAAGAGCCATCCCTGATAATTTTGTTCCTTTCAAACTTTCATGAACATTTAAATAAAATTACAAATATTTAAATAACCCTAAGGTATTACCCACAAGCTAAAACTTGCCCAGTAATTCCTTCGCCCTGTTATTTCAATATCAATTCCACAAACATGGAAAATTACGGCAATTGCAGGCTGTAACAGTTTCTAATATTCACATTATGAACTATCTGTTATCATAAGAATGTGCTCATGCTACAGGCAAATTCAGAGAAGGTGATTTCACCATTTTCAAGTTATCATCAGAGTATGAAAGAGGAAGATGACACACACACAGGGTGGTGTAGAAATCCAAAGCCCCACATTCTGGGAGTCTGTGACAACTCCTGTCCCCTGCTAAAGCTATGAGTTGGTGTTGGCATGAATCTGCTTTGTTTATTCCCAGCAGGCTCTGGCTCATGTCACATAAGGCACCAACATCCTTTTCAAGGTAGTAACCATCTAGAATCCAACTCAACTGCAACCTGAATCCATAAGCTTAAGTCACCGAAGACACCACTGGGTCACAATTATATAGGTTCCCCTAAAAAAAATCGATTTCTGCTATGTAGAAACAGAAACAAAAGGTCTAGGTGCATTTGCCTTGTGCAATGGATATTTCGTATGTTTATTGGTTTCAGTTAATATGTAATATGAAGGCATGATAAATGTGTCAAACTGTTCTCGTTTCAGATAAAATTCTTGGAATTTCAATATAGGTTATTATCTCACATGTCAGACTTGAGTCCAGAGAATACTAGAAGGACATTTAATTTCCTTTCTTCCTACTTCCTTTTGCTACTCAATTCAGAGACAAGTTACGAGTACACAGCTAGGAACCATTTTTACGTAAGCACCCATCTGAGCCCATCTTTTTTTATCTAAAACAACAAAAAGACTAAGGACAATTACATAATGCATTCCCAAGCCTTTTATGGATAGCAGGGACTGGGGGCACTATCTGGTCCATTTGGGTTCTTTCAATCACCAAAATTCTATTATACATGCCAAGGGTTAAAGGGAACACCATCAATGAAGAGAAGAGACGCTGGAGCCTAGAATGGAATCTATAGCATAAAATGGAACAGTGGGACCCAAAGAGTAATCATCAGCATAATTCCCTTTGTAACAGATGTAAAAATCATGAATTTGAGGGGAAAAATAAATTAGTTTTGGTGGGATGCAGTGGCCAACAGGAATTACTTATTAGACGGTAACAAAGTGACTAAATTTTCCTTGTTTTTTAATCACTGTGTTCTCTTGGTCTCCTGAAGAAATCTCAGTGGAAAAGGAAAGTGAAAGAGAAATGTTTTATGCCACTTGCCTCTTGTATTCCCATTAATGAGAGTCTCTACATTAATGCTCTACACAATTTGGTCAGACTGATGAGAGGTGATAGATTTCCAGTGCTGATGAGATCTGGAGCCCTGGAGCCCATTTATGGCTTGACATTTGCCGAACAAGATGCTGACGTGGCAGCAAACATGGCTCTGATGCCCAGCTTACTTCATAGTTATTCCTTCAATCCTTGATGAGATTGGTCTGAGAGATGAGACTGTACTGAAATCACAAGAGCTATAACTGCCAGAGAAAATTAAATGGGGTCTTCAAGTAGTGACTGAGCTAGCAAACTAAGTGGCCAAGAGGGAGACAAGAGCAGCTCCTAAAGAAGGTTGAAGTCAAGCAATCTCCGGGAACACAGAGGCTCTGAAGCATCTGGGCGGAGCCGCAGGCAGGCAGGGCAAGGACACACAGCACACCAGGGCAGCACTGTCCTTCACTGTCTGAGACAACTCTCAGGCTGCAGAACCAATTGCCATCTCCACTGCCTACAGCTCAGGTCTCCAACTAACAGGGAGCAAAAAACGGAGTTTGATTTTACTCACCTCAAATCTAAACACGTTGGGAAAAAAACTGACCTAGAGATGAAAGTTATATTTCATGGGGGTTTATTAAACAGAGAAGGAGGAGAACCTTTCACTATTTCACAGTGCTTTCTCATGGAAATAAAGACATGATCATGAAAAGTCACCCTTAGAGGCAAGCTACCACCTCCCTAAGTAGGGGAGGCACCAAAATCTCCAGAGAATCCTGAGACCACTTGCACAAGTTGAATGTTTTTTTTAAAATAAACTTACGCTTAAATATGCTAGGTCTCAATTTCTATAACTAAGGTAAAAAGTGGTATATTTCAGAAGTTTTAATAGTTCTTCGTAGAGTGATAACATTTTAACATGTACATAATTCACTAGGGTATAAAGGTTTCCCAGTGTAAAGTTCGTTTCACCCTTCAACTGTAGCCCACTGCATTTGCCCAAATACTGCTTCTTTTTTCACTTTCTATTATATGTCTCTTTCATGCCAACTGAGGTAGTTGTCACTTTAGGACAGTTTAAGGCTGTGGAAAATACTGGTGGAAATAATCAACTGCCCAGCTGGAGGGAAGTCTCAGCGGTGACCCTTTGGAAGTCAGCAATGGAGCCAGGCCTTTCAAAATTACCCACACTAAATGGCTGGTCTAAAGGAGTCATTGCAGCTTTTTAAAAAATCATCTGCCTTTTTCATAATCATGGTGAGCCAGTAAGTCTGATACTGTGCGCTTGCCATGAGCATATATCTTTCTGGCTAAAGTAATTACTAGATTTTTTTTACTAGAAAAAATTTTCACTAGAAAAATTACTAAAGATTTTTCTAGGGTATGAGGATGAAAACCACAAAGAAAAAGAACCAAGCAAAGACAGACAATTGAGAATCTGCTTCCTCATAGATGGCATTGCTGGCTTACAAGGGGTACTTTGCAATGGCAAAATAATCTACAACTAATGCTACTGCAGTAACAGGCAGCATAAATCTCACATCAGAAACATAATTACAAATAAGTGTAAAGTTCATGGAAACCTGACAACTGAATGAGCACCCAGAGGCATGAAGATAATCTGGAATCTATTTCCTGATGATGCAAATTGTGGCTGCTGCATAACACAAATTTTGTATCAGGAAACTACATAGTTTCAGGGCTTACAAATTAGCCAGATTTGGAGTAATGTGGGTAGTGAGGAAAGGCTAAAAGGAATGGATAGAACATGTACATGAAGGAAGGGAAAGGAAAAGGAGGCAGTTTCTTGATTTTACAGCAACTCAAAGATACATGACTCAATGACTGAAAAAATGGAGAACTTATAAAAGGCATCCAAATCGCCTAAAAATGATAACTTCTCCTAGTTAGCAGGAATAATGCTACTCTGAACATACATAGTTCACAGGTAAGGCATTTGATGCTTCCCAACAGGGCAAAAGCAGGGCAATAAAGAATGAGAAGGTAAGAATGTTTTTTAAGATGAAATTCAAAGTTGAATATAATAAGAAGCCCAACATACCTCACCTGCAGAAGAGCTACAGGCATGTTCCTAAAGGCAAATAGGACTTTATATCATATGTATGAGAACTAATTCAAAGCTTAAAACAACAGCTCCTGGGGCTTTAATGGATAATCCATATTAATAAATACGTAGGGGCCCAAGGGGTTTGCCACTCTGGTGTACTTGCTGGTTCTGGAACGTGAGTTTGTTACATTTTTTTAAAAGACATTCACTTAAAAAACAAAAAATAAAAATCTATTTTCCTCCCAAAACAGTTAAATCAATAATTATTCTCAAGTCACTGAAATAAAAGCCTAAGTGAAGGACGCTCAGATTTGTGAATTTCTCTCTGGAAGATGCAGACTATAGTCTAAAAGCATTCCCGTACTTAACAACAGTTCTTACTTTGGAGAGCCACCCAGTGACAGAAATGCCATGACTGAATCAACTTTCAAAAAGGAGCTAAAATTCCATGCTAGCTGTGGCCATCCAACTTCTTTGGGAACATAAAAGTGGACTGTTAGCTTAATCAATGGGAAGTGAACTTCCACAGCATTCACTACTTCATCTACTCTCCTTCCTCAGGGATCCTGTAGAGACCTCCCATTTCCAAAGGGAGGCCTTTATAGGCCTCATTTCAGTGGGAGAATGTCTACACTATCTTACTCTGTTTCAAAGGGTTGAAAGCAATTGCACAACACATGCAACATGGACCAAGGCACCAAATCACTCCACATAAAGAGAACTGACCACCACCTAGGTTAGAAAGTTGTTGTGTGTGATAGCAGGACACCAAGAATATGAGTCTTCCTCCTCAGAGGATGCTTCCTCATAGATTTCATCCTGGGCAATAATGCTCCCTAATCCATACTCCTGCTCATGGACCGAAACTTCATTTGGTGTAAGGTGGGAAGAGCCTTCCACAAAGTCAGCAAATCTGGAAAACAGAAGATAATACTCATTAGAAATATGCCTTCTGTCCTTTCTGGTTTTCTTTCAAAATAAGAACAAATTGAAACCCTTGTTATGCTCACAATTCAAATTATATTGAGTCTTGCCAACATCCCTGTCCTTACTCTGGCAGGTAAGTAGACTGAAGCATGAAGTTAAAAGAAAAGGAAAGCTGGGATCATAGGCCAATACCCCTGCAACTCCATCCTGCCTAATAAGCATTTGCCTATCCTTTCTAATTATGAAAGTGCCAAGGTTCCTTTAGTCATCTGTAATCCTGATAAGAGAAGATTAAGGGGCATCACACAATTATTCATGTTTATAGCCCTATAAACTTTATGCCATCAGGATTCCAAATTGAAACTTCACATACTCATTGGTACAGTTGCTCCCAACTAAAAAGGGGGTGGGGGGAACCCTACCAACTCAGACAGCAATGCAAAGCTCTCAGAAGGGAAACAATATGGTACTGGAGTCTTTCCATCTTAATGCTACAATCAAAGCTAGAGTAGATAGTTCCTTGAGGAAACAGGTTACTTTTTTTTTTTTTTTTTTTTTTGAGACAGAGTTTCGCTTTTGTTGCCCAGGCTGGAGTGCAATGGCGTGATCTCGGCTCACCGCAACCTCCGCCTCCTGGGTTCAGGCAATTCTCCTGGCTCAGCCTCCTGAGTAGCTGGGATTACAGGCATGCGCCACCATGCCCAGCTGATTTTTTTGTATTTTTAGTAGAGACGGGGTTTCACCATGTTGACCAGGATGGTCTTGATCTCTTGACCTTGTGATCCACCCGCCTCGGCCTCCCAAAGTGCTGGGATTACAGGCGTGAGCCACCGCGCCCGGCCCCAGGTTACTTTTTAATGTGTGATTTTATCTCTACCTTTCTCTTGACTACTTGTAGATTAACAGGAAAACAAAAACCTCAAGTGCACGATTCTCTAGAAGTATGATCTCTGGTAGAACTTAAGGTCACAATTACCCTGATAGATGCTTAGTATATCTGCCCAAGAGTTTACCTTTTTGGAGACTGTATTCGAGAAACAGTCTTCCAAGCAGAGCAGTCTGGACTGTTACAAAATTCTCGGAGCTCCTCTAAAGCCTTTCGGGTTTCTACCTCTCCTTGTATCCGATATTCTTCTTCTGTCAGGAGACGAGGGGGGACAGGCTTTTCTGCTGCCTTACACATCTTTCTGTGCTCACCAAAATAACATTATGAATAATTAATCAGTAATCTATATCTATCCTTACTTCCAGCTTGCTTTAGTGGGCCAAGCATACAGTAGATAGTCTGAACATTAAGAGTCATCACTCCTAACTTTTTTCTATAGACATCTTTAGCTATGAGTGACAACTCAGAGCAGTCAATATTATTCACTATTGTGAACAAACTCACATTATTTTCCTAAAAATGATAAAATCCTTATTTTTTAATAGATGGGAAAATAACAAGAAAATTATGGTATAGGATTGTGGTCTTGGCTGGGCACAGTGGCTCATGCCTGTAATCCCAGCACTTTGGGAGGCTGAAGCAGGCAGTTCACCTGAGGTCAGGAGTTCAAGGCCAGCCTGACAAACAAGGAGAAACCCTGTCTCTACTAAAAAATACAAAATTAGCTAGGCAGTAGTGGTGGCTCATGCCTATAATCCCAGCTACTTGGAAGGCTGAGGCAGGAGAATCACTTGAACCTAGGAGGCGGAGGTTGCAGTGAGCCGAGATCATGCCATTGCACTCCAGCCTGGGCAGCAAGAGTGAAACTCCATCTCAAAAAAAAAAAGAAAAAGATTGTGGTCTAATAACTTGGTTTCCCAAACTGAAGGTATCACCTTCACTATCTATAATAGACAACCTCAGAACATTCTGATTTATTTTGCAAAGTGACAAAACATTCTATGAATTACATCTTAAAATAAGACTAGAACCTCCAGAGCAATCTGAAAGTTAATGAGAAATAATCTGAAACAGGCCTGGCGTGATGGCTCACACCTGTAATCCTAGTACTTTGGGAGGCCCAGGTGGGTGGATCACCTGAGGTCAGGAGTTTGAGACCAGCCTGGCCAACATGGTGAAACCTCATCTCCATTAAAAATAAAAAAATTAGCCAGGCATGGTCGTGCATGCCTGTGGTCCCGGCTACTCAGGAGGCTGAGGCAGAAGAATCCTTTGAACCTGGGAGGTGGAGGCTGCAGTGAGCCAAGATCACACCGGCCTGGATGACAAAGCAAGACTCTTGTCTCAAAAAAAAAAAAAATCTGAAACCAGGAGATCTGAATAAGCATACGGCATAAAAGTGATATAATCTGCGGCCAGGCATGGTGGCTCACACCTGTAATCCCAGCATTTTGGGAGGCCGAGGCGGGCAGATCACCTGAGGTCAGGAGTTTGAGATCAGCCTGGCCAACATGGTGAAACCCTGTCTCTACTAAAATTTCAAAAATTAGCCAGGTGTGGTGGCACATGCCTGTAATCCCAGCTATTTGGGAAGCTGAGGCAGGAGAATTGCTTGAACCCGGGAGGCAGAGTTTGCAGTGAGCCGGTATCACACCACTGCACTCCAGCCTGGGCAACAGAGCGAGCCTCAGTCTCAAAAAAAAAAAAAAAGTGATATAATTTGCACCACCTTGTGGTAACGGGAACACATGACATTTTACTAGATGTTTTTATTTTATTTAAAATGACTAGAATAAAAATATAAAAATGCCTACAGAAAGTTAAAAAAAATAGACTCGGGAAGGAACAAAAGTGGAAGTACAATACAATGACTTTTCATTAACAAAGAGGCTCCAAGGTCAACACCTCTGTATCCTCTTACTGCAAATGCATCCCACACTGTACATGTCAATAAAGTTACTCTGCCTTTCAATCACCTGTAGGTGATGTACAGCCACTGAATAGGGTATTCCAGGTTCTTAGTACACAGAGCAATGATGATAATGGCAAGGGCAATATGTGGTATCTGGATGCCAGAATACATGAAACACAGGCCCAACAGCTGCAAGGTCCAGGTCAGCAGGTTGATACTTCGTTCATTCTCTAAGGGCCCATACTTGTAACACACTGCAAAACTCATGAATCCAACTGTGAGGACATAGCCTGTAAGAAGAGTTATCAGAAGACATTCTTTTTCATCTATACTTGGTAAAAATAATTTGTGTGGGAAGCAGTAGTAAATTTACTGTATAGCACCCATTGAACAAGGAAATCAGGTAAGATTTTAACTTAATTATTCACACTTTTTTCTTAAAATATAATTCTCTAAGTTTCTATCCTTTCTGTTGTCCCATATTTATTTGGTTCGAATAGAACATTAGAGCTTCATGTTGAACAACCCTGAAATAAGTCTATTTAAAAAAACCAATATATGGAAATCCAGATTAGTCACCTCTTAAAGGATAAATCAAAGGTTACTATCTGTATGACCAAAGGATTTTTACTTTGTACATAAAATCTACAGCAGTTCATTCAGAAATGAAGGAGAGAAAAAAGTTAACTGCAGAGTCCTTTACTTAAGGTCCCCAAGTATATTTAAAATATGATTACATTAATAAAGTCAATTTACAGCTTTTCAGAAAGATGTTTATTGTAAAGAAAGGTATACTTATAAATACCAACAAATGAATGTCTTCTCCTTAACGCACCATTCTAATTTAAGAGGTGATCATTGTAGAGGTAGGGGTTAGAAATATGTGAAAAAATGTGATTTTTAAAAAGTTTTAAAAAATGACATGGGACGGGTATGGTGGCTCACGCCTGTAATCCCAACACTTTGGGAGGCTGAGGTGGGTGGATCACCAGGTCAGGAGATTGAGACAACCCTGGCCAACATGGTGAAACCCCATCTTTAAACATAAATAAATAAATAAATTTTTTTTAAAAATGACATGAACTTTTAAATCCCATAAGCAGTCAACATCTTTTCATGATCAAATTAACTGAAACAGCCTATAAACGTACAAAAAGGAAAGCAAAACCAACAACACTTACTTAAAAGATACTGCCAGTACCACCTCCAGATCTCTTGTAAATTTTTAAAAACTAGTTGAATGAGGTACAGAGAAAAAGACCAGCCTCCCACCAGGATGACGTAAATGGGACTTTTCTAAGACAGAGAGTAGAAGTGAAAGCAAAAAGTTACAACAGGGTTTCCATACATAAAAGAAGCAAAATGGAACTATGATAAAAAAAAAAAAATTCAACCTACTCAAAATGCACAAAAACTACTTCTCTTAAAAAGATGTCCTTTATACTTAAAATGATACAGTCTGCAAGGAACACTGGGAAGATGAGATGATAAATAACTTAAAAGCCTGGCTATATAATTAAAAAACAGGAAGGAGACTTTAATCCCCCTCTGGGCACAGGATTTTATATAAAAAGAATTTATAATCGGGCTCCAAGATTCATCGTGGAAAGTACCTTTCTGAATCAAGGAGAGTAGGACATTGACTCATCAGCCATCAATACACATTTTCAATGTTCTAAGATTACCCAGGAAAACAGTCCTTCAGCTATCCAAATTCATCATAGCTGCACATGAGGATTCTGATACTTACCTTAGGCATAAACTTAGATAGTATAAAAATGATGATTAGTAGAGAGGCCACAATTCCCACACTCATCCCGGTGGAGTAGTAAAAAATTGGACTTCTGCAGAAAGAAAATGTATTTCATGACCATATGCACATATTTCATACATAGCACTGTTGAAACTAGGACAACTAACCCAGCCAAAAGATTGTAAAAGGTACAAGATTAGAGTGGTACAAGCATACATCAGGGATATCTCAAATTTGGTTCCAGACCACTGCAATAAAACAAATATTGCAATAAGTGAGTCAGACAAATTTTTTGGTTTCCCAGTGCATATAAAAATTATGTTTACACTATACTATAGTCTATTAAGTGTACAACAGCATTATGTCTTAAAAATGCATATTCCTATGGGTGGGCCCAGTGGCTCATGCCTGTAATCGCAGCACTTTAGGAGGCCAAGGCGGGCAGATCATGAGGTCAGGAGATCAAGACCAGCCTGGCCAACATGGTGAAACTCCGTCTCTACTAAAAATATAAAAAAAAAATTAGCCAGGTATAGTGGCACATGCCTGTAATCCCAGCTACTTGGGAGGCTGAGGCTGGACAACTGCTTGAACCTGGGAGGCAGAGGTTGCAGTGAGATCGCACCACTGCACTCCAGCCTGGCAACAGAGTGAGATTCCGTCACAAAAAAAAAAAAAAAAGTATATTCCTTAATTAAAAATACTTTGCTTAAAGACTGCTAAAGATCATCTAAACCTTCAGTGAGTCATCGTCTTTTTGCTGGTGGAGGATCTTACTTCCATGTTGATGGCTGTTCTTATAAAGGTGGTAGTTTCTGAAGGCTGGGGTGGCTGTGGCAATTTCTTAAAATACAATGAAATTTGCTGTATTGACTCCTTTCATGAAGATTTCTCTAAAGCATGCAATACCGTCTGATAGCATTTTACCAGAGAACTTTCAAAATTAGAGTTAATCCTCCAACAGCATTCATTAGCCCTTAACAAGAGGATCACCCCTCCTATGAAGCTAGGCACTGACTTCTCTCTAGCCATGAAAGTCCTCAATGGCATCTTCTTCTAGTATAAGGCTATTTTGTCTACATTGAAAATCTCTGTAGTTATAGCCACCTCATCAATGATCTTAACTAGATCTTCTGAACAACTTGCTACAGCTTCTATATCAACTGTTGCTTCACCTTGTGGGTTTTTTTTTTCTCACTCTCTTGCCCAAGCTGGGGTGCAATAGCGTGATCATGGATCACTGCAGCCTCGATCAATGGGCCCAGGTGATTCTCCCACCTCAGCCTCCCGAATAGCTAGGACCATGCCTGGCTAACTTTTAAAATATTTTTTGTAGAGGAAGGATTTCACCATGTTGCTCAGGCTGGTCTCAAACTTCCTGGGCTCAAGTGATCTGCCCGCCTCAGCCTCCCAAAGTGCTGGGACTACAGGTGTGAGCCACCACACCCAGCCCACCTTGCACTTTTATGTAATGAAGACAGCTTCTTTCTTTAAACCTCAATAACCAAGAACCTTCACTAGCTGCAAACTTTTCTTCTGCAGCTTCCTCACTTCTCTTAGCCTTCACAGAATTGAAGAGAGTTAGGGCCTTGCTCTGGATCAGGCTTTAGTTTTTTTAAAAAAAGTTGTATCTGGTTTAATCTTCTCAGAAGCCAACTAAAACTGTCTCTATATCAGCAATAAGGCTGTTTCACTTTCTTATCATTTTTGTGTTCCCTGGAGTAGCATTTTTAATTTCCTTTAAGAACTTTCCCTTTGCATTCACAACTTGGCTGACTACTTGGGACAAGAGGCCTAGCTTTCAACCTATCTTGCCTTTTGCCGTCCTCACTAAGCATAATCATTTCTAGCTTTTTTATTTAAAGTGAGAGATGCATGACTCTTCCTTTCACTTGAACACTTACAGTCTGCTGTAGGGTTATTAATTGGCCTAGTTTCAATATTGTTGTTTCTCAGGGAATAGGGAGGCCCAAAAAGAGGGAGAGAGGCAAGGGAATCACCAGTTGGTGGAGCTGTTAGAACACTCATGACATTTATCGATTAAGTTCACTGTCTGATATGGTTTGGCTGTGTCCCCACCCAAATCTCATCTTGAATTGTAGCTCCCACAATTCCCACGTGTTGTGGGAGGAACCTGGTGGGAGATAATTGAATCATGGGGGCAGTTTCCCCCCTACTGTTCTCACAGTAGTGAATAAGTCTCTCGAGACCTGATGGTTTTATAAGGGGTTTCCCCTTTCACTTGGCTCTCATTCTCTCTTGCCTGCTGCCATGTAAGACGTGACTTTTGCATTCCACCATGATTGTGAGACCTCCCCAGCCATGTGAAAATGTGAATCCATTAGACTTCTTTTTTTTTTTTTTTTTTTAAAAAGATGGGGTTCCACCATGATGGCCAGGCTGGTCTTGAACTCCTGACCTCAGATGATCCACCCATCTCGGCCTCCCAAAGTGCTAGGATTACAGGCGTGAGCCACTGCGCCTGGCCTAAACTTCTTTTTCTTTATAAATTACCCAGTCTCAGGTATGTCTTTACCAGCAGCATGAAAATGGACTAATATACTGTCTTACGTGGGCACATGGTACCCCAAAATAATAGCAATAGTAGCATCAAAGATCACTAATCATGGATCACTGTAACAGACATAATAATCATATAAAAAATTGAAATATTGTAAGAATTACTAAAATGTGACACAGAGACACAAAGTGAGCACATGCTACTGGAGAAAACAGTGTGATAGACTTGCTTGACACAAGGTTGCCACTAACCTTCAATTTGGAAAGAAATAAACGACCTGTGAAGCACAATAACGTAAAGCACAATAAGTGAAGTGTGCCTGTATTTGCCCAAAACCTGAGGTCAGAGAACTTCAGAGACTAGACTAATAGTATGTAGTTACTACCAGATTATGAAGATTAATATCAAAGGGTTCCCCTCAAATAGTTCACAATAATAAACCTCTGCGTAATGTCCTATTCCCAACCCCATCATCTCTCTCAACCTGATTATTATTATTATTATTATTATTTGAGACAGGGTCTCACTTTGTCACCCAGGCTGGAGTGCAGTGGTGTGATCATGGCTCACTGCAGCCTCAACCTCCAGGGCTCCAGTGATCCTCCTATCTCAGATTCCCAAGTAGCTGGGATTATTGGTACGCACAACCATGCCTGGCTAATTTTTGTATTTTTTTGTAGAGGCATAGTCTCAGTATGTTGCCTAGGCTGGTCTTAAACTCCTGGGCTCAAGTCATCTTCCCCCTTCAGCCTCCCAAAGTGCTAGAATTATAGGTGTGAGCCACCACAACCAGCCCTCATTCCAGATTTTTTCTACCAGTTATTCCTCCCTCACTATTTCTCTCAGCATCCCTAAAATAAGGAACAACTTCCACCAACCCCACTCCAGCCCAACTTCAAACTCTAATTTGTTAATCTTTCATTCACTACTCCAGAAATACTTTTTACTTGTATATAAACTTAATGTTGATTTTACCTTCATTCAATGTTTATTTAGTTACCTATATGTTTTCTTCATATTAGTACACCTGTTTTAGCTAGTAGGTTCCTAAAAGAAGAAAATGAATAAGAACTTTGATTTTTTTTTTTTTTTTTTTTTTGAAACAGGGTCTCCCTCTGTGGCCCAGGTTGGAGTGCAGTGGTGTGATCTCGGCTCACTGCAACCTCCGCCTCCAGGCTCAAGCAATTCTCATGCCTCAGCCTCTCCAGTATCTGGGACCACAGTCACATGCCACGGCGCCCAGCTAATTTTCGTATTTTTTGTAGAGACAGGGTTTCACTATGTTGCCCAGGCTGAGCAGTTGATATTTGTCTCTTTACATCTGAACAAAATGAAACTCATCAACCCATGGATCCATAAAGATGACAACTTAACACATTACTTCTAGCAATAGAGAAGGTGTTCCATTTCATTGTATTGACTAACTCCTGTCAATCTAATGATGGAACAACTTAATGTGGGAATTTCATTTTTGCCAATATTGTTCAAATAAGAAAAAACAAAAATCATAATACACATTAAAGCACTTTTTAAAATATCCAAGCAGGCAATGGCCAAGCCATAAAGGTTCAGGAAACAGGAATGGCAGTACTTAATAGTTATTATGATAAAACCCAAGCAGGATAGATTTGAGCCATGTCATTCTGCACACTAGTCTTAGAACCTACCTGCTTAGCAAGTCTCCACAAAAAAATAGCATAAGTCCAAGAAGGAAAATAAGAAAGAGTTTGGGATCAAATCCTGAAATAAATAAAGATTTTTGCTTAATAAGGGAACAAAACAGCTTAAGGCATTATAGAATAAAGACAATATTGGCACTATTCATCAGCTACAGTAAAAATAAATGCAAACAGCCCATCTAAAAAGCATTGTAAATTCCACCTACAGCCTGGGCACCCTTCCAATGTATAATTAGGTCTCTGTCTAACCTGTATTTGCCTGAAGATCTTATTTTTATTTCGACTACCTATGCTAAGGTTAAAATTAACTCAAGCTTCATTTTGGACAGAGCTATACACAGTACCATCAGCAATTCATGTAATCACCCACAAGGGGTCTCTATCACTCTGGCTTTCAAGTTTTAAGGCACCCAGAGTCATGGAATTCAGCAGATTTGCCCAAAACTGTGGGTCAGGGCCTTGTGCTGTTCTCTAACTGGGTGCTTTTCTTGCCCAACAATACCACCTACTTCCTTTTGCTACAGAGCACTGTGCTGGAAAAGCCTACACACAAATACATCTCACTCAGGACCAGGGGGCCCTAGCAAAGGCCCCTTGGTGGCATACCAGATACTCCCACAGCTTTCACATTCAAGAGCTCTAAGTCTACAGGAGGCCCACAAACAGAACAGGAGCAGGAGGAATCAGTAAATGCAGAAGGAACGTCAAAAAACAAGCCAACCCTACACAACCAAAGAACCCTAGGACAAATGGAAGGGCACAACCTATTTCATAGCTAAACCTGGAAACATTTCTGCTACTTACATCCCAGGGCTCTGTATAGTAACCAAGGGGAAACAAAGTTAGAGAGAATTCAACAGGATTCGCCTCCTCTGAAACTTTCTCAGTCATTTCCCAGTTCCACTGAATAAGTTTTAAACTGCAGTGGTCTTCATCTTTATGGTTCCACGAATACTCTTTTTACTTGTGATTTTTTTTTTTTTTTTTTTTTTTGAGACAGTCTTGCTCTATTGCCCAGGCTGGAGTGCAGTGGTGCAATCTCAGCTCACCGCAACTTCCACCTCCCGGGTTCAAGTGATTCTCCTACCTCAGCCTCCTGAGTAGCTGGAACTACAGGCACACACCACCATGCCCAGCTAATTTTTTTGTATTTTTAGTAGAGACAGAATTTCACCGTGTAGGTCAGGCTGGACTCGAACTCCTGACCTTGTGATCCACCCGCCTTGGCCTCCCAAAGTGCTGGGATTACAGGTGTGAGCCACCACGCCCAGCCTTTACTTGTGAATTATTAATATTCAATTTTACCTTTCTCCAATTTTTATTGCTTAGCCATTCACGTCTTCAAATGTAGGCATGTACACATCAGACAGTTACCTTTGTCTAGAAGTGTCCAGAAGGTAGAATACATCTACCTGATTTACTCTAAGAGTATTTGACATATATGCTCAGGGCCATTAGTAGCACACTGTATTAGGAATAAAAGTCTTCACAGTTCTAGGTAAGGAGGTATTCAGAATTTCCTTAGGTGGAGTTTCAATTCTAGGTCTAAAGTGTCTGATGTCAGGTGAAGTCTCCATGAACTGTTTGGAGCAGCGGTATACTCAGGGCTATCATCAGAACCCAACTGGAGCTGTCCTGGGCGACTTCTCAGTCTCACTAATTATACCCTTCAAAACTCAGTCCTTATCACTACAGAATCCATCAGAAAAACAGAGGTGAGACTTACTCCGGATCACAATGACACTGTACTTGGTGTCCTTCTCTATAATCTCAACTTTGAGGCAGGTTTTTGTGCTGTATAGACCCACGTTAACATAGGTGTCATTCAATTTCTCTTTTAAAAAGGAGGAAAAAAAGTTCCAGATACTAAACTGCTCTAGCTCCTTCAGTTTCTCCTCATTCTCCACCTGGATGACTCGAACCAATTTGGAACTATTTACTCGGATCTGTAACACAAATAAAATCAGAATGAGAAAAAAGGAAGCAGAAATTTTAATTTTTCACAAATACAAATTTTTTAAAAACCCTCAGAGTAAACAGCTAAATCAGTAATAGTGCCAGTTTTCCACAAAGCGTATCAGAAATATAGAAATGCAGTGACTAAAACATAATTGGGCAAATAACACTGCACATGTTACACAGAGACAGCTGTTAGAATATCTTCTTGCTAACATGATCTGAATCTACTATTAGGCCTGAACATAAAGGAAAAAAAAACTTACAAGCTGAAAGAGTTATCAATAGAGATATTTGAGATCACACAAAGCAAAAGTCTATAATATTAAGAAGATTGCCAGGCATAAACTGCCCCAGAAAACTAAAAGTTTTCCATAATGACAGGCTGAGTTCAATCCGTTGTTAAAAGTCACTGATTATAGGTAAATGTTGGTTATAATGTGCCCCAGATAGAATATGACTTTTTAATCAATTTTTTAAAATAATTTTTTTTTTAAATCCACAAATCGGCCAGCCTGTAACCCCAGCACTTTGCAAGGCTGAGGCGGGCAGATCACAAGGTCAGGAGTTCAAAACCAGCCTGGCCAATTGGGTGAAATCCTGTCAATACTAAAAATACAAAAATTAGCCAGGAATGGTAGCACACGCCTGTGGTCCCAGCTACTTGGGAGGCTGAGGCAAAAGAGTCACTTGAACCCAGGAGGTGGAGGTTGCAGTAAGCCAAGGTTGTGCCACTGCACTCCAGCCTGGGCAACAGGGTGAGACTCTGTCTTAAAAAAAAAAAAAAAAAAAAAATCCACAAGTCCACCCTTATGTTTTTGATGTCAACAACAAATGCCCTTATCAGTAACTATGCTTATACCAACTACAACATTTCTGAAAGACTCATTTTGTTCAATCACTGTTATAGCCAGACATTCTTGTTTGCCAGGTGACTTAACAATGTTATAAAATACATGAGACCAAAGTCTTTCTTCAGTTTAGGGGGCTTACCAAATATCTCATGTAGAATTAGAATAGAATAGGAACAGCAGGGCAAAAGTTTACACCGTGACAGGCACGTAACAGTTTCCAGCCCAAAGAAGGCATACAGTCTTTAAAAAGAAAGAGGGGGGCTGGGTGCAATGGCTCACGCCTGTAATTCCAACACTTTGGGAGACTGAGGCAGGCAGATCACTTGAGGTCAGGAGTTTCAGACCAGCCTAGCCAACACGATGAAATCCCATCTCTACTAAAAATACAAAAAAAATTATCCAGGTGTGGTGGCACATGCCTGTAATCCCAGCCAGTTGGGAGGCTGAGGCAGGAGAATTGCTTGAATCTCTGAGCAGGAGGTTGCAGTGAGCCGAGATCATGGCACTGCACTCCAGCCTGGGCAACAGAGGAAGACTCTGCCTCAAAAAGTAAAAAATAAAAATAAAAAATAAAAAAAAAAAGAGAGGGGTGTGTGTGTGTGTGTGTGTGTTTGTGTGTGTGTGTGTGCATGCGTGCGCGCGCGCATGCACATGCCCATGCTGGAAAATGAAGGATATGAAAAGGAAGCAGTTTCTTTGGGTAAAGGAGGGAGAAGGAAAGAAAGTTGATCTTAAAATACTATAATCTACTTGAGAAACCAGAGAGGAATACAAAGTAGGCATAAATGCTTATTGATGAAAACACAATGAGGATAATCTCAACCCTAACAAGACTGTTAATAACTTTTTTTTAAGTATGTGAAGGGGAAAAAAGTGTCAAAATACTCACTAATCATCAACAGACATAAATTTACAGAAGCTGCCCCTGCCAGAGGATTCCAAGTTATTACCTGTATCCGTGTCCATATATCATGCCATTTTGGGATAAGCACATTTTTGTAACAGAATTGTTGGCTGGCACACTTTTCACAAACTTGGGATTCCTGAAGCATGACCACATTTACATCAATTTCAGCTTTATGCAAAGAAAGGAAATAAGAATTAAACATAATAAGCTAATAACTATAACTTATTTCATGAAAAAGATTAACCACTTTCCTAAACTTTGGGTTAAAACATTAGCCAGACTGAGAAATGAGAAAAAAAAAATGAGAAGAACTAAGGAAGAGTCTTATTTCCGTCAAGTTTAATTATTTAAATATTAGACAGTCATTCAGTCAGACAAGTAATAAAAACTACTACTAAGTATTAAGACATTATGCTGTCTCATTTAATGCTCCCAACAATGCTATGAGGTAAGCACTCTCATAATCCCTATTTTATAAATGAGGAACTGATGTTTAAGAAAGGTTAAGTAATTTGCTCCAAAATCACACAACTAGTAAATAGCCTGAGATTCACCCCTAGGTCTGACTATGGTCTTAAACACTAGATATACTGCCTGTCTTATAAAGGAATAGTTAAAGTAAGCTAAAATACTCCATCTGTTGATTTTCTCTATCCCTTTCCTGAGTAGAACAGAATTGGTAACTATTTTTATTTTATTTTTGAGACAGGGGTCTGGCTCTGCTGCTCAGGCGGGAGTGCAGTAGTGTAATCACAGCTCATTGCAGCCTCAAACTCCTGAGCTCAAACAATCCTCTTACCTCAGCCTCCCAAGCAGCCAGGATTACAAGTACACGCCACCATACTCAGCTAGTTTTTTTTTTTTTTCCATAGACAAAGTCTTACTACAGTTGCCCAGGCTGGTCTTGAACTTCTGGCCTCAAGCAATCTTCCCACATTGGCCTCCAAAGCACTGGAATTACAGATCTGCTGCCACGCCTGCCCAGCAATTTTTTTTTTTCTTCAGACAGGGTCTCGCTCTGTCACCCAGGCTGGAGTACAATGGTGCGATCTTGGCTCACTGCAACCTCTGCCTCCCAGGTTCCAGCGATTCTCCCATCTCAGCCTCCTGAGTAGCTGGGATTACAGGCATGAGCCACCTCAATTGGCTTTTTTTTTTCTAGTAGAGACACGGTTTCACCATGTTGGCTAGACTGATCTCAAACTCCTTCCTAGCCTCAAATGATCAACCCACCTCAGCCTCCAAGTGCTGGGATTACAGGCGTGAGCCACCATGCCCAGCCAGCAATATTTTTAATATACAGTACTTTAGGAGGATATTAAAAGATTTTAAGGTTGCTTCCTTCCAGTTGTTTTGTTTCACATCATGTTTTAAGAGCAGGCAATGATTACATGCAGTCCCTCTGGTTTACCAAAATAGAAGACTCTCCTCCCAATTTAATATCAGCTAATTCAAGTTTTAAAAGTGAACACTCTCCAGGCCAGCATGGTGGCTCACACCTGTAATCCCAGCACTTTGGGAGGCCAAGGCAGGTGGATTACTTGAGGTCAGGAGTTTGAGACCAGCCTGGCCAACGTGGTGAAACACCGTCTCTACTACAAATGCAAAAATCAGCTGGATGTGGTGGCAGGTGCCTGTAATCCCAGCTACTTGTGAGACTGAGGCAGAAGAATAACTTGAACCCAGGAGAGGGAGATTGCAGTGAGCCGAGATCATGCCACTGCACTCCAGCCTGGCCGATGGAGCAAGAATACATCTCAAAAAAATAAATAAAAAGCCGGGCACGGTGGCTCAAGCCTGTAATCCCAGCACTTTGGGAGGCCGAGGCAGGTGGATCACGAGGTCAAGAGATCGAGACCATCCTGGTCAACATGGTGAAACGCCGTCTCTACTAAAATACAAAATATTAGCTGGGCAGGGTGGCACGTGCCTGTAATCCCAGCTACTCAGGAGGCTGAGGCAGGAGAATTGCTTGAACCCAGGAGGCGGAGGTTGCGGTGAGCCGAGATCGCGCCATTGCACTCCAGCCTGGGTAACAAGAGTGAAACTCTGTCTCAAAAATAAATAAATAAATAAATAGATAAATAAAAGAAAAGAAATAAAAAGTTGGGGCCAGGCGTGGTGGCTCATGCCTGTTGTTCCAGCACTTTGGGAAGCTAAGGTGAGGGGAATGCTTGACCTCATTTACATCAAGTTGAGACCAGCCTGGCCAACATGACAAAACCCCATCTCTACCAAAAAAAAAAAAAAAAAAAAAAAACGGCCAGGCACAGCGGATCATGCCTGTAATCCCATCTACTCGGGAGGCTGAAGTAGGAGAATCGCTTGAACCTAGGAAGTGGCCAAGATGGCACCACTGCACTCTAGCCTGGGTGATAGAGCAAGACTCTATCTCAAAAAATAAATAAAAATGTATACACAAAGATGTTCACTAACTTACAACAATGAAAAACTAGAAATACCACAAATATCCAACCAACAGTACAAGCCACCAATACCTAACCAAAAGTACAAGCCAATATAGAACCAAATGTTTACTCCAGAAACATTAAAGAAATAATGATTTTTAGCCAGTCAAATGGCATGTTCCTGTAGTCCCAGCTACTTGGGGAGACCGAAATAGGAGTTTACAATGAACCATGATTGTGCACTGCATTCCAGCCTGAGTGCAGGCCGCGCGTCGTGGCTCACGCCTGTAATCCCAGCACTCTGGGAGCACAATGTGGGCAGATGACGAGGTCAGGAAATCTAGACCATCCTGGACAAGATGGTGAAACCCCATCTCTACCAAATATACAAAAATTAGCTGGGCGTGGTGGCACATGCCTGCAGTCCCAGCTACTCTGGAAGCTGAAGCAGAATTGCTTGAACTCAGGAAGTGGAGGTTGCAGTGAGCCGAGATTGTGCCACTCCACTCCAGCCTGGGGGACACAGCAAGACTCCATCTCAAAAAAAGAAAAGAAAAACTTAAAAGAGACTACTGATCGAGTGCTTACTATGTAGGAGCATTTTTGCCTATATTTTCTCTTTTCCTCACACAACTCACTACCGTATTCATTGAGTTTATTCACATAATAGTCCTTCAAATGTTATCCTGGGCCGTCTTCTAGGGATGCTGAGATCACCTTAAAGCAAGGGCCGAGGTGGGCGGTTCAAGAGGTCAAGAGATCAAGACCATCCTGGCCAACATGGTGAAACCCCGTCTCTACTAAAAATACAAAAATTAGAGGCCGGGCGCGGTGGCTCAAGCCTGTAATCCCAGCACTTTGGGAGGCCGAGGCGGGTGGATCACGAGGTCGAGAGATCGAGACCATCCTGGTCAACACGGTGAAACTCCGTCTCTACTAAAAAATACAAAAAATTAGCTGGGCATGGTGGTGCGTGCCTGTAATCCCAGCTACTCAGGAGGCTGAGGCAGGAGAATTGCCTGAACCCAGGAGGCGGAGGTTGCGGTGAGCCGAGATCGTGCCATTGCACTCCAGCCTGGGTAACAAGAGCGAAACTCCATTTCAAAAAAAAAAAAAAAATACAAAAATTAGCTGGGCGTGGTGGCTTGCGCCTACAGTCCCAGCTACTCCAGAGGCTGAGGCGAGAGAATTGCTTGAAACCAGAGGGTGGAGGTTGCAGTGAGCCGAGATCACACCACTGCACTCCAGCGTGGAGACAGAGCGAGACTCTCTCTCAAAAAAAAAAAAAAAAAAAAAAAAAAGCTGTAAGGATAATCTTCAAGTGGCAGCATGAGACAGGAGGCAGGAACCAATGGGAGAGATGAAAGAGAGCATGGCCAAGCATGGTGGCTCACTCCTGTAATCCCAGCACTTTGGGAGGCTGAGTCTGGTGGATTACCTGAGATCAGGAGTTTGAGACCAGCCTAGCTAACATGAAACCCCGCTTCTACTAAAAATACAAAAAATTAACTGGCCATGGTGGCACACGTGCCTGTAATCCCAGCTACTTGGGAGGCTGAGGCAGGAGAATAACTT